GGGGGGGGGCGATCGATCCGACTTCGAGTGCGATTCGGGAGCGGAGGAAATCGATCGAAGCCGGCGGGACCTGCGCGAGCGATCGATCGGGAGAGGCCCGACTGTGGGGCGACGGCGACCAGATCGGGAGAGGCCCAAGGCCCAACTGCGGGGCAGGGCAGAGCGATCAGATCGATCGGCAGACCAGCGGGCGAACGGAAGACGACGGGGCGAGGCGGGCAGATGAAACCCAGCGGCCAGAGTAGCGGATCAATGGCACGAGTTGCGGCGTGCAAAAAAAATTGACCTAGCTCTAATACCATGTTAGGAATAAGCAACCTGTATTCCCATGGGGCCATAGGCCGATATATATATATACATATACAGGTGTGGAACATATGCAGGAAACCCCTTATACAACGGGATAAATACAAAGGGGTACATGACTTATATTATAACTCTAACACTTGTGACCTCATTCATCAGCACAACGAAAAGATAAGGGCTCAAAGTTGCTGTTGTTGCAGTCCTATTTTAATCGAAAAGTCATCAAGTCGCCATCACTTGTTCGGACACTTGTCACAACATTATCGTACATGTCCTTGATGAGGGTAATGTACTTTGTTAGGACTTTGTGTTTCTTCAAGGCCCACCACATGACATTCAGCGGTATCTTATCGTAGGCCTTCTCCAAGTCCATGCACACCATATGCAGGTCCTTTTGCTCCTTATATCTCTCCATAAGTTGTACTAAGAAAATGGCTTCCATGGTCGACCTCCCAGACATGAAACCAAATTGATTTTTGATCACGCCTGTCATTCTTCTTAAGCCGTGTTCAATGAATCTCTCCCATAGCTTCATTGTATGGCTTATCAGCTTAATTCCATAGTAATTAGTACAACTTTGAACACCATCCTTGTTCTTGAAGATTGGTAATAATATACTCCATCTCCATTCTTCTGGCATCTTTGTTTGCTCCGAAAATGAGGTTGAAAAGCTTAGTTATATCGCTGTGCCTCTGAGGCCTCTCCACACCTCAATGGAAATACAATCAGGGCGCATCGCCTTGCCTCCTTCATCCTTTTTAAAGCCTCCTTGACCTCGGACTCCTAGATTTGCTGCACAAAACGCCTGTTGGTATCATCAAATGAGTCATCCAGTTCAATGGTAGAGCTCTCATTCTGCCCAGTGAATGCCTTGTCGAAGTACTCATGCCATCTATGCTTAATCTCCTCGTCCTTCACCAGGAGCTGGTCTGCTCCGTCCTTGATGCATTTGACTTGGTGACATCCCTCGTCTTCCTCTCTTGGATCTTGGCCATCTTATAGATGTCCCTTTCGCCTTCCTTCGTGCCTAACTGTTGGTAGAGATCCTCATACGCCGGACCCCTTGCTTCACTTACAGCTCGCTTTGCGGTCCTCTTTGCCACCTTGTACCTCTCTATGCTGTCTGAAAAATGTTTCTTCTCCTTAATAGCCTTCTGGACATCATTGTTCCACCACCAGATATCTTTAGCTTCGCTTCTACTTCGCTGGGACACTCCAAACTCCTTTGAAGCCACCTAAAGTATGCAAGTCACCATCTTCATCCACATATTGCCTGCATCACCTCCTTCCTCCCAAGGGCCCTCCGTAATGGCCCTCTCCTTGAATGCATGAGCTACCTCCCCCTTGAGCCTCCACCACTTCATTCTAGCGACTTTAGCGTGCTTATCCCGTCAGACACGAGTCCGTAAGCGGAAGTCAGCCACCACAAGCTTATGCTAAGGGGCAATACTTTCTCCAGGTATCACCTTACAATCTAGGCAAGCACGCCTGTCTTCTCTTCTCGAGAGGATGAAATCAATCTGGCTAGAGTGTTGACCACTACTAAAAGTCACTATATGTGATTCTCTCTCTTTAATCAGGGTTTTAGCTACAATCGTGTCGTAGGCTAGAGCAAAGGTTAAGATATCTTCTCCTCCTTGATTCTTGATGCCATAGCCAAAGCCCCATGCACCCCTTCAAAACCTGTGTTAAATGTACCCACGTGGCCGTTGAGGTCTCCTCCTATGAAGAGCTTCTCGCCAATAGGTACACTCCTAACCATGTCCTCCAGACCACCTCAGAACTCCCTCTTGGTGTTCTCATTGTGGCCTACTTGCAGGGCATACACGCTGCTAACATTGAGAACCAAGTCGCCAACTACCAGCTTGACCAGGATAATTCGGTCCCCACGTCTCTTGACATCTACCACTCCATACTTGAGGCCCTTGTAGATCAAAGATGCCTGCTCCATTTCTGTTTGCAGTCGTCCATGTGTACCATAGCTTGAAGCCGGTGTCCTCCACCTCCTTCGCCTTATGTACCCTCCATTTGGTTGTCTTCTCTATAGCTGTAAAATATTTATAGAATATAAGTATCATGTCCCGTGCATGTTTAGAATATAATTAGTGGGTTTGGTTAAGTGGCATATGTGATGAGGTGAAAAGTGTACATGTTGAGAACAACAGAAGTAATGGAGTTATGCATGTTCAGAGTAATAGAATTAGTTGGATTGAAAAGGTGGCATGTGTGGTGAGGTAGGATGTGTGCATATTGAAAGAAATGAAAGTAGTGGGGATCAAGATATAGATATATAGGATTCCGTGTCACATGATCATACATACTAGGTGTCAAGTTTTACCAACACCTATCTTACAACTGTTAGAGATGCCCTTAGTAAGATATATCTGTGTGCGTGTGTGGTGCTTGGGTGTGTGTGTGTGTATGAGCATGTCCTCTCAGTGGATTTGATTTCTGTATTCTAACAATTTCATCTCAACTGAACACAGTATGAAGAAACTATGCAGTGTGCCTAGAATGTGTTGATCGCCATTATTGGCACATGAAAGATCATGATTGGTGTTTTGTCAAGGTTATGAGTCTGAGTAATTTCAAGGATGAAATGGTAAGACCTTGTCAATAACACTATTTTGTGCACCAAATATATATTCTACAGTTTTCTAAATTGTTGTTTAGTGAACAATTGAGAAACACTGCTAATCTTGATGCTGAAATTAGGAGCTTGAGAACCAATTTTGTTTACAATAAATATAGTTTACATGAAAATGAAACTGCATGAAGCCCAAACAACCAAAATTTTCTACTCCCTCCTATCCAAAAAAAGTGTCGTGGGTTTAGTTCAGCTTTAGTTCAAAAGCCACGACACTTTTTTTTGGATGGGAGGTAATAATAAATAGTATTGAAAACATGTGCTCTTAATTTTTCTCACAGTGGATTATAGGTAGGGATATGGGCTGGAAATCACTTAACCTTGTCTATGGTCATTGGCTGCTCAATGGTCCTTTTTCATTTGTTCCTTTATGCAGGCCATACCAGATGAGTTCACCACTAATTTCAGAGGTCACATTTCTGATAAAGTCAAACTAGAAGTAGCAGATGGCAACATTTATAATGTTCAGGTTGCCAAGGAACAGGATAAGTTTATTCTTCGGTCAGGATGGGTGGACTTCACCGGTGCTTATGAACTTCAACAGTATGACTCCCTGTTCTTTATATATAGTGGGGACTCCCACTTCAAAGTTCGAATCTTAAAACCAAGTGGTTGCGAGAAAGCGTCGTCATGTGTTACAATGAGCTGTGGTCCTAATGTCCAAGAAAGGGTCATTTGTCATGCTCTATCACTACCTAGCATAAAAAGATGTAGAAATGACAATTGGACGGACAATTCGAAAACTGCAAAGGTTACTCCAACGGACTCACCTTCACAGAAATCAAGTTCAGAAATGAACAGTTGAGTGTGCAATTTCCGTTGCTGCTTTTTAGGATTTCTTTTACTACTATTTTGTTCTCATTGTTGCTTTCATGATTGATGTTGCACAGCACAAGATGTCACATCTTCAAAATATATTCCGGAACCAAGAAGTTCAGGTGGCCTTCCAGGGTCCACTGAATCACGGCACATCTTAGAAAAGGGCTGTATACTGACTAGCGCTCAGAAGACAAGAGTCGACACATTTGTGAAGGAAAGTTGGACTGGAATCCAATTTTATGTCACAGTCATGAACGAGAAAAGTCTGTCTGATGGATGTCTGGTACAGTATCTTTTGCAGTCAATGATCTTTTTGAATGAACTAGAACTTTGTCGAAATTGTTAAAACCCTAGCTCTCTGCAATTACGGTCAGTTCATTTATTTGTAACAGGTCATCTGCAAGGATTTTGCAGCCAAACATCTTCCGCACCAAGACCAGACGATCAAACTCTGTTATCCTCAGAACAGCAAAACATGGGATGCCAGTTTGAAGGTTATCACTGATGGAGCATGCACCCGTTCATGCATCCTTGCTGCTGGTTGGCTGGACTTTGTACGCGACAACAACTTGCGGGAAGGCGATATCTGCGCATTCGAAGTGTCAAAGGACCATGATAGAGTGATAATAACAGTCCACCTCTTAAAGAATGTCGTCGTAGCAGGACATACCAAATCAACCAGCCAGCAGCAGAAGAAATGGACTCACACAGGCTATGTGGTTACAAAATACACCAAACTGACTTGCAAGCAGAAGAGAAAAATCGAAGAGAGGATCCAGGCTATTAGACCTGAAACAAGAATATTTGTGTCCATCATCTATAGCAGCCGTAAAGCTGCTGCCTTGTGACCATGAGGTCACGGGTTCAAGTCCTGGAAATAGCCTCTTGCAGAAATGTAGGGAAAGGCTGCGTACAATAGACCCAAAGTGGTCGGACCCTTCCCCAGACCCTGCGCAAGCGGGAGCTACATGCACTGGGGCTGCCCCCTTTTAAGAAGGGGAGCCTTGGCGCAGTGGTAAAGCTGCTGCCTTGTGACCATGAGGTCATGGGTTCAAGTCCTGGAAACAGCCTCTTACAGAAATGTAGGGAAAGGCTGCGTACTATAGACCCAAAGTGGTCGGACCCTTCCCTGGACCCTGCGCAAGCGGGAGCTACATGCACCAGGTTGCCCTTTTTTTCATCTATAGCAGCCGTGCCAAGCTGGTAAGTTCTGTCGATCCATGCTAATAAGGATCTGTTGTTTCTTGCTCTGTTGAAAACTTACCATTCTGCCTTATGAATGTGCATCGAGCAAACTCAGTCCATAGAAGTGCGATATGCTACCGCTCATCTTCCACGCGAGGAGCAGTGGGTGAGGCTTCAACTGCCTGGGAAGAACCACACTTGGAAAGTCAAGCTCTATATCGGCGACAAGGACAAGGGCAAATGTTATGCACTACAAACAGGCTGGAAGAAGTTTGTAGATGATAACAAACTGCAGGATGACGACATGTGCCTGTTTGAGCTACTCAAGAACAAGGAGCTCACCATGAACGTCCACATCATTCGCAGAGATTGAGAGAAGCGTAGCTGGCCAATGTCGCCTGCCATGGTGGTGGCGCCACTCTTGTGGTGATGCGTAGTTGGTGCATTTTGTATCAGAAATCCACAAACTTTTGGTTCCCCCATCTCCCAAATACTTGCAAGAAACCCTGTCGATGTCGATGAGATGGGTTTCAGTTTGGTTTCAGCTCCTGCAAGCATGTCTATGTTTTGTTTCAAAGCTACTGGTTAGATTTTTTTTTTTGAAAAGAGGAAAAAACGCTCAATCTCTACACCGAGTGATGCATGCATATTGTTAATTATTGATATTGCCGAACCAATCCTTTTTTTAAGGCGAGAAGCCTGGCCTCTGCATCAAAAGTTGCGCACAACCAATTTATTAAGAAAAATAAGTCCAATTCACCGAGTACAAAAAGGTTTACAGCAAAACACAACCATGTAGGTCTGAAACAACTAAATTGCTCCACATAATCTGTTACTGGCAATGCCATCCAAACTGGATGAAATAACTTAGTGCAACAATTTTCAGACGGTTGCACCCAAGGATCATAAGCCCTCGTGTCTCCACACGCTGCATCCATGACCACATATAATCGATATCGTAGCTTTGAAGATAACCTGCAAAAATGAAATAGATCATCTGTTAAAAAGGTACATTCAGGCAATTCCAAATTGCCCAAAGAGTGAAATAAATTCACAATGCGATTTGGCCCTTCAGACTATGGTGAATACCCTCCAACCAATTACGAAACAAATTTGGTACTCCCTCCGTCTTGGTGCATAGAGCGTGCGCGTAGTTCTAGGTTGTCAATTTGACTAGCTAAATGTGTATTATATGCTTTTGATGATATATAACACAATTTTAGGTAGTCAAATCAAGGATATAGAACTACGCGCACACCCTATGCACTGAGACGAAGAGTATATATTTGCTGGTGGTGGTAAATTGAGAGTAACATAAACTATGCATGAAATCAATGTAGCGAACAAACATGACAAGAGTAAATGATGATTGTTTCCTCTTCCTCACATAAATGTCAGTATGCAGCTACTGACACTGGCGGTGAAGCAGCCAGGAAGACGTATCCACAACGACAAGACAGAAGCGTAGTGGCGGGAGGTTTGAATAGAAGTTGGGCTGTGTTAGTCGTGTGGGCTGAGTGAGTGTGTGGGCCGAGGCCTGCGAATGTAACGAGCGGATATATAAGCTCGAGTGAGTGGCTTGTACGGGTATCAATGATTGAATTTGGATCTCATTCCCCTGAGCTTATCCCCCCCTCTCTCTCTCCTTCCTGGTTGTGTCTGCATTTCTCTCAACCCCGGCTCCTTCCCTTCACCAAATCACCGGCGACGAGCCCCAAATCCGGCGGTCCTTCGCGGCCAACGGCAAGGGCGTTACAATCTGGTATCAGAGCGACTGATCCGTGGCCCGCTTCCGCTTGCTCGAGAGCGTACCCAGCAAATTCCGAGGCGATGGTCTCCGATCACCTTAGGGTTCGATCGGTGTAATCCTTGACCTGAGGTGGGTTGCTTTAGAGAGGAACGACACGACGGCGTTCAAACCTAGCGCCCAGACCAAGTACCTCGAGCACGGCATGGAGGCGTTCCAGGAACGCATGCTGAAGGAATTTGCGGAGATCCACGCAGAGCAAAACAAATTGACGAAGGTGACCAAGATCTGCGACCGATTGGAGGCGCTGGATGCAAAGCTGGAAGAGCAGTCTCAGCGTTTGGATCAGGTGCAAGTGAAGGTAAATTTATCCTGTGATACTTTGGGAAAGGTGCAACAAGAGCAAGTTCTGTCGATGAAGCAGAGCAATCCGGGTGCTGCGAGGGGAGGGGCTGTTCCTCAAGTTTCCCCGCCTCCAGATGGGGTATTAGGAGCGGCTCCAACATCTCAGGTATCGACGACAAGGACTCGGCACCGGGCTCCCCAGGTACCGAACCACAACCCGTATCCCAGCGGAAACAGGGAGAACATGTGCAGTGTGAGGAAGCGACTGGAAAGAGAAATTGGATGCCTAAAATGGATTTTCCAAAATTTGATGGTACGGGAGCAAGGATCTGGATCGATAAGTGTGAGGCATTCTTCCAACTGTACAATATGCCTGACAGTTTTCGGGTGGCATCCGCATCTCTGAATTTGGTTGACAATGCAGCACATTGGTTTCAGTCAGTGAGACAGAAGGGAGTGTGGCCGAATTGGGAGCAGTTTTGTGAGGCATTGTTGGTAGAATTTGATGTGAATGTGCATAGAGAACTGCTGCAGTCCCTACTCAGGTTGAAATAGTGGGGAACTATTGAGGAGTACAAGATCAAATTTCATCAGTTGGTGTATAGTATCAGGCTGTATGAACCACAACTCAGTGACACTCTGTTGGTCACAAGATCATCTCTGATGCAGTGTTGGATGTACTGTTGTATGATCAACAGGAGGAGTGTGCTACTATCTCTGTGTAGGCCCTGTCAGGTGCAACTCACCCAAAAACTATACAGTTCAGAGCACTTATTGGAAATCAAGTAGTGTTACTGCTGCTGGATTATGGAAGTACATATACTTTTGTAGATCAGACTCTGTTAGAAAGGATCAAGCTACCATCAGAAAAATTGTCTGAGCCTTTATCTGTCAAAGTGGCAAATGGTGATAAGCTACAGTGTACTGAATATATTCCTAACACTATTGGAATCAGCTTATTTGCCATCTGCCAGTTCTTTGCCGTCAGCTGGCGGACGGCAAAGAGGCACTTTGCCGTCTGCTTGCAAAAAACAGATGGCAAAGAACTGACAGACGGCAAATATGCCAGTTGCCATCAGCCAATTATTTGCCGTCTGCCAGCAGATGGCAAAGAATCTTTACCATGTGCTGGCGGACGGCAAAGAGGTGGGGCTATCTCTTTTTTTGCGGGTACAAAGAAAATCGTTGACCCCCACCTCCTCTCTCTGTCTCCCCTCTCTCCGCACGCCCCCACCTCCTCTCTCTCTCTCCTCTCTCTCTCCCGCTCGTCTCTTCCTCTCCCTCGCGCGAGCACCTACGGCGACCGATTTCGGCGAGCTTCGACGGGATTCGACGCCGCCCAGCACACCCACGTGACCCCCTCGCCCCACTCCACCATCCCCTCTGACCAGATCTGACTCGTGCGTCCTCCAGAGACCACGCGTGACCCTCCCCTGCGGCTAGGGTTTCGGCCACCACATCATCGGCGTGGCTCCGGTGTTGCTCCGGTGACTCAGGTGAGTCTCTTCACTCCTCCTCATCACATCCATCCCTCTCTTTCTCACCGCGTCGCGTCGCATCTCCTCTCCCTCACAGATCCATCACGCCGGGAAGCCATGGAAGGGAAGGACGCCATGGACGGGAAGGACGCCGTGGAGGACGCAGCTCCACCACTGCCCCAACGCCATCCAGGTCCGCCCCTCCTCCTCTCCTCCCCTCTTGGATTTCTTCTTTTCCTGCCTTGCACCCGCCCACTCAAGTTCTAAACCAAACAAGAAAAATTATCAATCTTGTTTTTGCTGCATATGCAATAATGGTTGAGGAGGACTCAGTTGTTCACTTCTATAATTGTGCCATAAATCAGTTTACTCTGCTTGAGGGCTGCCGTGGTTAGCTCGATTTGATAGGGTCCTTACTACATATGCTGCAGGGATTTAACTTGACTTGTTAATAATGAGTGTCAATCAATCAAACACAAGGAAACTATAAATGCTTACTATTTCGTATAGTGATCGTTGTGTTGTGTATAGGTAAAACTTGTGTTGTCCTTATCTACTTCGGAGGCATCATCATGTGTTGTCAATTTAGTTTCTGCCATGGTTTTGGTTTGGTCCTGCTTATGCCAAATCGATCATTCATTGCTTCTGAACACTCTACCTTTAATCTTTGCTTCTGTAAAACCGGCCTTTCTTCTATTGAATGGAGTGTTTGCTTGCTATGCGGGAAAAGTAGCTCATTCATCGCTGATTTGGCATGTGCAACCAAAGTGGACGAACCGCATTTAGGTTCGGTCACCGTGAGGATCCTTTGGCGGTGCTGGATGTGCCGTGGCGCGGTGGTGCCCCCGGGTGGCGCCTCCGTGCTGCGGTGCCCCTGGTTGGCGCCTTCGTGCCCGTGCTCTCACTGGCGCCGCCGTTGTGGTGCTCTTTGGCAAGCTCCGGCTTGTTGTGGTGGTGTTGGTTGTGATGCTGGTCACACCATAGTGATGGTGTGGCTGCATCCTGCTTCGGCTACAACTCCTTTTGGTGAGCTTCTCCTTGCTCCCCTCCTGATCTCTCTAATGCATAGCTCTTGATCTTGTTGGATGTGAGG